AAAGTTATATTTACATGATGCATTCTAAAGAAAAGTATACGAAATTGAAATATATGTACATATATTTCGATTATATAAATCGAGCAATTTTTACTTTTGCTCGATAATCAGGAATTGATACAAAAACAATATTATTTATTACACATTTTTTCACTAATTGATATAACTTAAATTTAATTAAAATTATTTTTCAAAAATGAATAAACAGAAACAAGTAAAATAATAATTTTAAAAATATTAACTTTTCTAAAATTTTATCATAAAAATATGAAATCTGGAGACACGGTAATATCGCTGTTCAAGCGCAGCGACACTGCCATGGCTACTTTACACGAGTTTTGCTAGATCGAGATTATCGAATCTTAGTAACGATACAAATATACGCATAACAATGCGGAAAAAAATCGAGGAATAAAAACCTCCCCAAAAAATTGTATAGAATATAAGAAAAAACAAATGAAATAAATAATTTGCTCTGTAATAATTATTATTTCTTATAACAAAACTAACCCTGAACTATCCTTCTCATTATATATTGAATAAACTTGATTTGTCGATGAAATTTATAAATATTTATTGGATCAGAAACAAAGGTTTCAAGAAAAGACGAAAAATGAGTTGTTAATGACAAATAATAAATTATTCGCAAGAGAAGAAATGAGTTTTTGACAGGAGTCAAATCCGATATTTGATATTATTCCCTGTTGATTACCTGCAGTTACATCTTAAGTGATTTTCATCGAAAAATAACTTTTTATTTTACATATCTATGCCTTCGTAATTGAGAAAGAAACAAAAATCTAAGAATGGAGAAGCAACGAAAAAGAATATTGTATTGTTTTTTTGTACTATGGTGTGCCCACTGTCGCTTTACATATCGCCAAGATCAATGGCCTATTATTATCTTGATGGATATTTTTTTATAAACTTACTTATTTAATTAAATTTTTTTATTAAAAAAATAATATTATTAATTTATTTCTATCTATATGTGATAAATTTAATTTTATTATTTAAAAATTAATTAAATTAAAGAAAGATAATAATTATTTTTATATAATCATACCGCATTATTGTCTCAAGAAACACAGATTTATTAATAATTCGTCTAATTTCTTACCTGATTTTTAAAGTATTTTTTTGAATAAGAACGATCATCTAAATATAATTGTTGGTTAAACCTTAGGCTTAGACATTTTAGATGAGATAAAAAATATTGATGCAATGTTACTGCCAACGGCGATCAATGGTTGTGGATTAATTACAGATAGCGATGGCTATCAAAGAATACAATCCGAAAATAAAAGTTATTGTAAGTAAATAAACATTTTCTTTATAGCTGCTATTGTAATTGTAAATTATTATATATTTTCATATAATAAGCTAAAATTTATCTAAAAAAAAATTTGTATTTATTTGGAGAGAAAATAAAAATTTGTAAATCATAATTTTAATTTTTAGGAGATCTAAACTGAAGTTACTGATTCTTTAATCGAAAATATTAGGACGAACAACTTCGCCTAACGAACTAGAAATTCCTACGAATGATTATACGTGGTATCGAAATTCTAAAAGCTTATCAGAAATGTGTCTCGATACAATTATGACAGTAAATAAAACATTGGTTAATATTGCAGCCAATATGTTATTAAAAAAAGAACATTGATGATTTCAGTGTAGCAATTGGTTTAGCTGCGATTTTAACTGGTGAATTAAAGAATCAGGCTGCTCCTCGCCCTGATGATGTGGACTGCAAAGTTCACGAAACATTGGCATTCTAAGAATGGATCTAGACACGGAGGAAACTTGCGAAACGCATAATCTTTATATAAAAAGCACTTGTAGAAGCCTTAAGAATATTATCAAATACAGTCCATACTTATCAGTTAATGATGAAGAAATTATAATTATTGTTGATAAGCATAAGTAACAGCATTTTCTTATTAATTTAAGCGAACTTTTTAAAAGATTAATAGCACTGCTGATAGTAAAATTGTAAATGACGCACTAGAAGTTGCACTAGAAATTACTCGATCATATGTTATGATAAATCAATATTATGAAAGACGCTATTTTATTATGCCTTTATGATCAATTTTAAAAGTATATAAATCAGAATACACTAGAAAAGTTGAAGAGATAAAAATGTAGAAATGATCTATCAATTATTGCATTAACTTCTTTATTATACTTTTTCAATAAAAATTTGAAACATAAATCAATTAAATATGTTCGCATGTGGATACACACATATATAGCATGAGACTTTTAATTAACGCAGTAATTATATTCAATATGAAATATCAATTTTTAAGAAGTTACAAATTTAAAGCGTCAATATATATATAAAAGTTGGACGGTTTTTAAATTGATATTGGAGTGCATCAAATAAACGATCAAATATTTTTTAGTGCATTCATTATATTCAGTTATTAAAAATTATACGAAATTTATCTTATTATTCTACTTTTCATTCAATTCTTCATAATATTATAAGCTTTATTTTTAAATTAGTAAAAATTTGTAACATTTTATTTTATATACGAAAATAAAAGTTCTGATGAAATCTTTTTATTTAGATTTGAAAATGCGTTAAGTACTTCTTTTTTTCTTCATAAGAAATATTGCATTCTCATCTAGATACAATTATTTATATTTTTATAGCATGAATACCCTGTAGGAATTTTTACTATCTCTTCTTTAATTTAATGCTTCAACTGCCATGTGTAATGTTTCGATATATCGGCATGACACTTTATGCGTTTCACTGCGACATATCGATATACGACTGCACATTTAAAAGCTCCAAAAAAACTTAAAAGTAATTTTATTGAATCAAAATGATGCCTATATTCTCATGATGGCTGCGTTCCAACATTCAGTGTACGTAAGTGTCTGAAAGTGTATAGTAAGTTACGTGCACTATATATTTTCAGCACTTGCAACGAATATCAGAATATGATAGTACGATATGCATGCTATACGATAATAATAATCATGGATACGACTAAAAAAATCAACAAATTAATAAAAAATTTTAATTTTAAAAATATGTTATGCATATTTATAAAAAATTGGCATTAATATCTAACAAAAAATTACAATAAAAATATTAATTAATAGCAACATTTCTTGTGATACTAATCATATTTTAACGATAAAGAATCGAATATTAATGTTGTTCATTCCTGTGTAATTTTTTATAATTTGTGCAATTGAAAAAATATAAACTATAAATATTGAATTCAATTTAATTAAAATCCATAACTATTTTTTTATAAAATATATTTTTATAAAATTGCACGGTTTTACATTTAATTATTCTTCAGTTTCATCAATCTTTATTTTTAATGGTTACATTATATTACAGGAAAAAAATGTTTAAAAAACGAAGGAATTAGTAATAACAAAAAGTAAAAAAAATTTTAAATATACAAAATTTAAAAAATAAGAAAAGAACATAATTAAACAAATATT